GTTTTCTAATGATTAGCGAAAAACGATTTTGGAATTTCCATACTAAACTTAAAGAAGTACAAATTTCCGTGATTTTCCGTAACAAAATAATCTAGATTCATTTGAAAACTGTTACATAATGCTAAAAGAACAATTAGATTAATGTAACAAATGAATTTTCAAAGTTTTGTTTTCTAATGATTAGCGAAAAACGATTTTGGAATTTCCATACTAAGTTTAGTAGTTGGAAAGCGAAAATGCTTTTACCCTCCAACGAAAATATATCGTTAATCCAAACAATTTTCCTTCGTAACGTAACAATTGGCGCGCGCGCTAGCCGTCAATACGAGCGTAAATCAGCGTATTTCCAGTCCGAACTTTCCGACTTTTCCGCCCATTTCCACTCCGAAAATCTCTCTCTCTTTCGCGCGCACTCATCTCGACACATATGCCTTTGCAGACGTTATATTTAGGCAATAAACCAGGTTGCGGCATTCCGCGCGTCTGACTCACGGGCATATACCGCTAGAAACCTTCATCTGTCTTTACATTTCCAAACAACACAGAAAAATAAAACAAAAATACGAAAACAAATTCAACTTTCAATTAACAACGAGAGGTGTATTAATTTCGTTAGAATAAAAACAAAATTGGGATTTATATTTAATAATCGTGAGAATCGTAAGAAAAAACGCGGTTTACGCGGATCGATCAATGGGTTGGACCGAAAATAAAATTATGAATGGAGCTGGTGGGAACGCTCTAAATCCGTTTTGTCGCGTTGGCGTCACGAAAAATAAGAATAATAATACAAAAAAATGAAGTACGAAGAACAGATGAAAAAGCAAAGAAACAAAAGGACGTCGTTTACGTAAGGTTTAACGGGTCGTCGGATCGCGCGTGCCGCGCACATTATATAATCGTAAAGTGCGGTGGATCTGGTCGGATCGTAAATAACACGCGGCGGATCGTAAAGCACATTTATTTCTATATAATGCTTTTTTTTTCTTTTTTTCAAATTTAGTTTTTTTTTCCTTCTCCTCTCCTGGTTTGAGAGGATGATGTTCGAACAGGAGGCAGATTTCAAGAGCGACCGTGTGTAAATCTCTCCGGAGGGAAAAAGTTTTTGTTGTTTTTTTTTTTGGCGATCGACGAGTGCGAAAGGAATTCCGGAATGTTATTATTTTACTAGGACGATCCGTATTATTAGGATTTTATTTTTTCGCCGGTGCCAACGAGTTGCATGCTCGGAAATCGAAAATTTGTCTCTTTACCGGAAAAAATCATGACACATCCACTCTCAAAACGAAATGAATGGGTGGACGAACGGTGTCGTCGTCGTCGTCGATCGATTCAGTCTGTTGTCCTCCGTGGTCCGTTCAACATGCCTAAGAAGGTCTGATCCCTCATCATCATCATCATCAACATCCACATAAAACATCTAATCTTAATCCATGCTTCTAATCTTAAGTATGATAAGTGTAGATGCTGTGTTTAAAAGATTCATTTGTTTTATTAAAAAACAGCTTTCTTGATTGTTATGCATTTTTCATCAACAATTTGTTTAGTTGCTTAGAAACGATGTTAACAATTGCTGAATCGAAGCTTTCCAAATATAAAATTTATGGAAAACAAAACTCATTAAAATAAAACAATTGCGTATACAATTGCTTAATTCATAGTCAGAATTAGAAAAAAATGTTTGGTTACTTAGATACGATGTTCAATTGCTTACTTGATATTGAGAAAAATTTATAAACAACATTGACCAACAGCTTTCTTGATTGTTACGCATTTTTCATTGACAATTTGTTTGGTTGCTTAGAAACGATGTTGACAATTGCTCAATCCAAATATAAAATTTAAGGAAAACAAAACTTAAATCATTAAAAAAAAACAATTACGCACTTTATCTTGGTTACTTAAAAATTTAAAAAAAACTATAATTTTCTAAAAACATAATTAACAATCGAATTTTGTTGACAAGTTGTTTGGTAACAATTGAATAGAATTAAATTGAGTAATCTTCTGAAGTTTATTATCATCGTGAATAAAAAAGAAAAACATCAAAGCTTTTAGATGTTTAACAAAAGTGGTATGAAGCTGAATAAATTCATTTGTTTTACTAAAAAACGGCTTTCCTGATTGTTACGAATTTATTATCAACAATTTGTTTGGTTGCTTAGAAACGATGTTAACAATTGCTCAATCCAAATATAAAATTTATGAAAAACGAAACGTAAATATTTATTTAAAAAAAAAACAATTAATACAATTGCGCACTTTATCGTATACAATTGCTTAATTCATGCTTTCTTGATATTCAGAAAAACATAATTAACAATCGAGTTTTGTTGACAAGTTGTTTGGTAACAATTGAATAGAATTGAATTGAGTAATCTTCTGAAGTTTATTATCATCGTGAATAAAAAGAAAACATCGAAAACTTTAAGATGTTTAACAAAAATGGTATGAAAAGTGTAGACGTTTTGTTTAGAAGAATTATTTGTTTTTATTAAAAAACAGCTTTGTTGATGGTTACGCATTTATAATCAACAAATTGTTTGGTTGCTTAGAAACGATGTTATCAATTGCTTAACAAAAACTTAGGAAATATACGTTTATGAAAAACAAAACGTAAATCATTTTCGAAAAAAAAAA